TAAGCTGTTTTACCCCTAGAAACGGATTAACAGACCCTTACCACATCCAAGGTAACAAATCATTATATACATGCTTGACTAACTCCTTTGATTGTCGTTGCCATCTCTTCAGCACATTCCATGCTCACAAACAAAGTTGCTAACTTACTACTTTAAAGTGTTGCTTTCTAGGCCTACTCTCCTACTAAGCCTTAGCCATTCTACTACTAAATTTGAATTATTCTGCAACAAGAGCACCTTAGAGCAAACTTGCTCTGAGGGTATGCAGGACGCAGGTTTCCTGGAGAAGCTGCAAAAGCAGGAGCTCCCTGACCTCAGGAGGGGTATTCCAGAGCAAAGCAAGGGGCAGAGGTCTGCCTGTGCCTTGGCACCCCAGAGCGGGCTGCGCTCCAACATCAGCCGTGTTCCTGCAGCCAAAATTTGCTGCCTTTATAAAGGGCTGTGTTTGCCAGGTCGAGATTTGTTTTAGGGGGGTGTTGATGTGTGTGGGGGCAGCAGGAACCAGGTCAGGGCTTCCCCCACCACCCCCATCCCCACTGGCAAAGGAAAGCCTGGCAAGGCAGAGGCTTCCCCAGCCACATGCCTGGCAGGCACATGGTGCTGCCCGGCAGAGGGAAGGGACAAAGGGACAATGCTTTCCTGGCCTGCCACTCATGCAAGAGCTGACTTTGGGACGGCTGGGATGGCTCTGGGATGGCTCCCAGACCCCACGCTGGTTCCTTATCCTCAGGGAAGCAGAGCAGTGGTCTGGAGGGCAGCTGCAGCCCTGGAAGCACAGTCAGACCTGCACAAACACAACAGCTCGGCTTTTAAATTACTCCCAGTTAGGAAGTTTGGCTGACCCATGTCCATGGAGTTTACCTGGAGCTATCCCATGGCCTCAGAGCTGCAGTGGATTTGTGGGATGAGAGCCCAGGTGAGGTAAGCTGTGCTTGCCTGTAGCAGGGATGGGAGGCTTTTCAGCTATTTTTTCAGGCACATGTTCCCATTTTGTCCCTTTTTCACACCAGATCCCCTCTTCCAGGGCTTTTGCCAGCCACAGACTGGGCTCTCTACTGGCTGCATTCCTTCAGGTTGACGTGTCTTATCTTTTTCCCCTCATCCTTATCATGCTGGAGTTTGTGAATATTTCTCCAAAACTATAAACCACCCCTGTGCCCCATGTAAAGCAAGTCAGACAGAGAGCAGAGCCAGCCACAGAAGTTCAGGCCGCTCTGGGGGCATGGCACTCCTGGGAAAAGGCTCTTCTAGCCATCCAAGGAGCCAGGCAGGAATAAACCCCTTTTGTAAAGCTTTTATCACTGTGCTGGCACCCCAGCAGCTTGTTTTGGCGGTGGGAAGCCGGGTGGCACACTGCCTGTCCTGGCATGATCACCCCCTGTGCCAGTGGTGCTGGATGTGGGGGGATTTCCTGGATACCCCTGCTGTTGGCAGGGCTGGGGCCAGGGGGATGAAGGGTCCCTGGGGTGCTCATGGCAGCTGGCACTGGACATCAAAGGCTTTCTGGAGGCTGAGTGCCATGGGAGCAAGAGCTGGGATCATGCCAGGCCCTCCCGGCTTTCAGTCTGATGTGTTTGCAATCTCATTTGTTAGAGCCTGATTTTAGGAGTCTCCATGCAGAGCCCATCTCTCTGCACTCCCTCCAGGGAGCCCATCAGCCTGTGGTCAGGAGCAGATTAATCTTATCTTCATTGTGATGACCAAAAGTCACCTTTATTCCTCATCTCACGATGGTTTTTTGTGCTCATTCCATCCCCTTTATCCTCTGTTTCCCCTATAGAGTCAGAAAAGCAAGGTAGAACACCAAATGCAGGACTCCCAGGGAAAAATTCACGTGTAAATTCCAGGAGTGAAACCCCAAACAACAGGTTAAGACCTAGCAGGGAACTGCCCCATCGGATTATTTCTCTCTGCTGTGCATCCCAGCTCCAGGGAATTCAAGCTTCTAATTAAGCTCAATTACTCCTGGAAACAATTTTTCAAGCACCCACCGAGGCTGCTGACCAGAGCAGGAACACTGCACCGAGAAGTTTTAATTGCAAGGTTGTCCTGCCAAAACCAAGCTATCGGTGTCACTGGTGCCAAGGAGTCTGTGCCAGGCCGTGCCGTGTCTTTTGGCACTGTCCTTATCACCAGTCAGGGTGATTCAGCTGCTTTCAAGCATCTCCCAAGCCAGGAGTGCTGCTGAGGCAAAAACATTAAGCACACAAAGAAAAATCATGAGGGCAGAGGCCTGGCCTGTTAATTTCCTAACTGGAGAACCTGGGTGGGCAGGTGGAATTTTGGAACAGCCAACGGTTACAAAAGGGCAAAGGCTAATTTGGGGGTTAGAGAGCTTCTTTCAGTCAATTTTTCTCCATATCTGATTAAAAAACACAGGCAGACACAACAACTTAGCAAAGATGTTAGGTGTGAACACCTTCCAGAGCAGTTACAAGAGGCAATCCCCTTTGGATCATCTCCCTTTTCTACAAAAAAAAAAACCAAACCCACTTGCCCATCACTGTAACCTTACAGGAGGAAGATGCACATCTCAGGGCGTTGTTTTGAATCCTACCCGAGCAAGGAAGGGAAAAAACCTGTGCCAACACCGCCAGGTCTCACTCGCCACCACCAGTTTGTCACCCCTGTGGCAGCCACCGGTTCTTCCAGCAGGCAGCCCCGCTGTGGTCGGGGAGCAGAACCTGCTTCCTGCCACGGGGATCCGGAGGAGGCAGCATCGGTGCTTGCCGGGCGGGGGGCAGGTGCCAAATCCGGGGTGCCGGTGCCAAATCCGGAGTGCCGAGGTGCAAAGCGGCTGCACCGGGTGCATCACACGGGCACGACTGCCACGAGTCTGAACATTAGGAGGTTTTATCGCTTTTTTTAAGGGGTTATCGCTTTTTTTTTGGGGTTTTTTTTTCCCCTGCTGCAGGCTCCCAGGATGGAGGCGTGGGATGGGACAGGCACGTGGGAGGATGGAATTCCCATCACCAGTCACAGCTGGGGAGCCAACTCCTGATCAAAGCCAGACCAAAGCAGCACCATGGCACCTCCATCCTCCTCGGATGCCCCCCAGATCCAAGCAGCAAAGGGGTCTCATTGAGTTTGGGATGGGGGAAGCAACCGGAGACATGGATGCTGAGAGTCACATCTGAGCCCAGGAAAGGAGGGCTGCTGCCTTAGCTGAGCTTTTGTCCCGACTCTTTATCGCTCCCAAGCCATGCTGAGAGAAACAGTTTTAAGCAGGATGAATGAAATTGCAACACAGCAGGATTCCTGGGGGTGCTGCCTCAGTCATCCGGGAGTTTTTATGGGAAAGTGAAACAAAAAAATCAGTGTGCAGCTTAAAAATAAGAGCTGAAGGAAAAGAAAAAGCTCATGGGGAGTGTCTTGGGCCTCCCCTGTGAAGTCAAGACACATACATAGCTGTGAGGAATGGAGTTGGAAGCCTGAATGCCCTGAGGGATCCATCCGTGGACAACTCTTGGTGAGTTCAGTGGCTAAGGAGACTCTGTACCCATTGCCTGAGCCAGCACAAAGCCCTGGTTTGGAATCAGGTCCTTCACTCATTGTCCCAAGCCTCATTCTAGAAAAGCACTGTCCCAAAGCCCCCTCCTAAAGCCTCATGTGACAGCACACAGGGCTTCCTCCAGCTTCTACTCCTTCTCCTTTTCCACAGGGAGCAGCTCCTGCCTGCAGGCTGCCAGCACCTCCCCGGCCGTGGGTGGGGAGTGCCTGTGCCAGGCTGGAAGCTGCTCCTGCCTCCCAAAAGGAACTCAACTGTTTCTTCTACCTACCCTGAAGAAAAGGTGGTTTGGGCACAGGTTTATCCCAGCCTGGAATGCTATCATGATTTGTTTCCAATTCAAAATAACAGCAATTAGGCTGAGGTTCCTTTGTCAACTTTATGGAGCAGCTTAAGCCAGCAAACCAGGCTTGGGAGAGATGAAGGCTCTTACCAGGGACATGGTGTTTTGTCCTGGTATGAGAAATCTCACTGTTGGATTTTCTGGGCTGCCAAGTCAGGCCCCAGAAGGAAGGTAAGCAACTCTGACCACAGGAGATGTCCATGGCAGAGCCCCAGGGCAAGTGGCACTTGTAACTGCCAGAATACACATTTCCCTGTAAGTAGAAACAACATTCGCCATCAAAACTCATGGAAATCCAACAGCATCTCTATTACTGCCTTCAGTAAGCTTAAAGTAAGAGCCTCTGAGAGGCTGAGAGCTTCATCATGTAAGAACACGAGCAAATGATGCAGGAGGTCACACCATAAATCCTGGCAAAATGCAAAGTTCACAACCACAGTAGCCACATGCTCTGCTCACACCAGGATCCTTCTCAAAAGCTTTCGCTCCCTGGATCTCTGTCAGTGGAAGAGTCAAAACAGGGAAAGTTCAGAGGTTTTTACTTGTGTGGGATTGATAAGGCAAGCAAACCTAACCTGTTAACTTCCTCCCTCGTGTGCAGCAGGCTGGAGGTTCCCCCACAGGCAAGATGCACGTGTTGTACCAAAGGCCTTAAATTTGTCTGGGTTTAGTTAAAAACCTCTGTTGGTCAGCAGTGCTCTGCTACAGCAGCATGTTTCACAACCCCAGTTTGCTTCCATTCCCCCATGAGCAAGATCACATTCCCAAGGAAAGGCTGGACTGGACTGGGGGAGCCCTGGTCTGGCCCATGAGGGCACAGGATTTCCCAATTTATTCATGCCTGTCAGTTAACTTTCAAACTGAAAAGGATCATCATAGGTGAAGTTTCACTTCATTCCTTTGGGAAACATGCACCCTGGCTTTCTATGAGGGCCTGGCCTGTTAATTTCCTAACTGGAGAACCTGGGTGGGCAGGTGGAATTTTGGAACAGCCAACGGTTACAAAAGGGCAAAGGCTAATTTGGGGGTTAGAGAGCTCCTTTCAGTCAATTTTTCTCCACATCTGATAAAAAAACACAAGCAGACACAACAGCTTAGCAAAGATTTTAGGTGTGAACACCTTCCAGAGCAGCTACATGAGGCAATTCATCAGAGGCAGGATTAAAAACTCTTTTTTATTAAGTTCCCAGAGGGAAAATGCTTTTTGGACAGTGACTCCTGCTGGGAACATGCAGCCAGCACAGCTACACACCGAGCTTCGGAGAGCAGGGATGGTCCAAACCACACATGCTGGAAGGAGCTGGTGTTATCCCCATCACCAGAGTTTGCACAGCATCCTCCTCTCTAGAAGTCCTTGGGGAAACGACTGGAGCTGAAAAACCTTCTGCAGCCTCCTTGGAACAGAGCTGTGAAATACTGGGTGCTGAGCAGCCTCAGGAATGTTAGTCCCTGTCTGCAAGATAGTACAGAGTTTTTCACCCTAAGGCAGCACATTCTTGGCTTTGGTTTTCAAAAGTCTGCAGTGATGTACCAACTGTTTGGCACCAGCTGCAAGACAACGGTTGGCTCCTTCTGTTGAAGAGCAGCTATAGGTATGCATACCAGGGGCACCCACAGGCAGCTTGGCTTCCTGCTGGGTTTATCTCTAAACCATCAGAAAGGCACAAAACCACCATCTACATGCCAAAACATCAGCTCTGCCTTGGCACATCCAGTTCTTCAAGGATCCTTTTAACTCTCTCCAGGATGGTCCACACTTCTGCCATGGCACCTCGCCCTGCAGGGTAAGAGCAAAACCACATTGTGAAATCCAGGGCGGGGGCAAGTGTGCAAAACTGTCCCAAAAAAGTGTGTGTGGACCAAAACTCCCTATTTCACCTCCTTTCTCCAGCATAAACACTGTGTGATTTCAGTATCTTTTTGAAATGGTCTTTGCCTATACAAAAGACTTGCTGTTCCCATGACTCTGCAGTGAGACCCACAGTACAGAAAGCAGTCCTAGACTCCCACCAGCCTGAATCTTGGGAGTAACTCTTGGAGAAGGCTAAGTGCTGGACAGAACAAAAAGGAAAGCTTTTCCTTTCAGACTAGTTAGTTGCCAGATGAACATCTAATCTACTCTGTGCTGCTGCTTCCCTCTGAAATACTTTTTCAACTCAGGTTCAGAATTTTAAGCCCAGAGATGATTAAATCATCTTGTCCAACCTCATGTGCTGAACTCAGCAGTGGGAACTCAGGCCATTCACTTCTGTTATTTGCTTGGAGCTGAGGAAAGATGCTTTTCCCATAGGCATTTGTCTCCTCTGGAAGACTGAAAAGGAGTCTCTACTGAGTTTTTGTCCTGCTGGCTAATAGCTCTCATTATTTAAAATACAAGCCTTATTGCTCAGCAGAAATTAGTTCTGGGAGGTTTTGTTTTCCTCTTTTTCAGACCTGTAAATCCCAGAAGGTCTGGAGCATCCTCTGGATGAGCCACATGCAGATTTGGGCCCTTCTGCTCTCCTAACCTTGAGAAACTGCATCTGGAAGGTGCTGCTGAACAAGAGACATTCCCTGACTGTCTCTGCACAGTTTGGCAGAGCTACACCCTTCCAGAACACTTCCAAGGCCTGCCTTCTTCCTCCACCACCCACTTCTCCAACATCTCTGGCAATTCACATCTGGATTTCTAGGTTTAGCAAAGCAAAATCTTGCTAAGCAGCCCATCTTACAGCACAGCTTATGCCTACAGGTAGAAATCTTCCAGGGTGCCCAGCCTGAGAAATCCAGCCAAGGATGATGATGATACTGTCAGTATGGAAACTATCCAAACAAGGAACTCAATTTAATTTAGTTTAACTCTCTTTGACCTGAACTTTCTGTCTAAAACCACCCATTTACTAAGGGAGGAAAATTAATCAGGTAAAGCTTGTAATGCAGAAACTTGGTGATAGTGAGGATCCGGGCACATTTCAGGTGAGACCAACCACATGGGTTGAGGAAGAGGAACCTCTCTTAGAGCAAAACAAACCACAATGTCAACAGACAAAACTGGTGCAAACTGAATCTCTTCTGCACCAGATGTGTGAGTGTTGCTACATGTTTTTTGGGTGGAACCCAGGCAAACCCCTGTGTGGATGGAACCCACAAAACCAAAATGAGAGTGGAAGAGGCTGCGGGGTGAAAGGCCTGAAAAAAAGAGGGGAAGAGGTGAAAAAGTCAGTGGTGGAGTACTGGGTATTCAGAGAGATGGAATCCATTACTGCTCTGCCATAATTTTCTTACAAATTGCCAGGAAAATCCTGGTGTTGCCAACAGGAAGATCTTGTTGTGAATTGACTCACAAACACAAGTGGAGTTCAGTCAGAGGTGGCTGCTCCTAGCACAGCTGTCTGTGCCATCCCTCTCCTCCAAGCTTCTTCAGGAGTTTGCTCTCACAGCAGAGACAGCTGAGCTGGATATGAAGAAATTTGATGTAATCACGTCTAAAATCCCAGTGGAAGGATAATCATCCAGGATATTTCAACTGATGCCTGAGTTACTTGACTACACTTACTTAATTGTAAATATTTCCTAGTCTTCAGATCAAAAAATACAATCTCTAGAGGCACTGCAGCAACCTAAGGATTCAAAAATTAAGCCAGCCTTGGAATTTGACCCTGAAGGACACTATAACATCCTGGCTTAGGTACAGACTGTTTATTGAACTGAAAGGGTGGTTAAAATCCTGCTGGAGTTGGGGTTTTTACACAAAAGTAGGAGCATTCTACTGTGCAGTTAATAGCATGTTTGCTATTTTGCTATTATGGCTGGAATTGGGGGACATTTTACAGACAATTTGTCCAATAAAATTTTAACAAAAAACCCAAATCCATTCATCCAAATGGTTTGTATCAAAACCACTCCCAAAAGTCAAAATACCTCCATTTAAAGCAGCTCCTAAAATGCAAATGAGACCATTTCAGTACTATTTCTTAGCATTGCAAGCTAAATCTAATGAATCTGACCATGACAACTTCCCCCACCCCCTCTTTCACTTCATAGATAAATCTGATATCAAAACCCCAAATCAAAACTCCACTGGGAAGCTGAAAAGTAACCCAGGCAACAACACCACCACAAAAGTTAAATGTGTGTCCAGCTACACCCTCAGCCACATCTTCAAAGGGCTCTTCTCACTGTCTGCTCTCAGGGACAAGATTTTATCCTGATGGCAGAGCTGATGAACTGAGGCACGAGGAAAACAGCCCCCAGTCACAGCAGAGGGCAAAGTCAGGACACTCAAATCCCAGGCTGATAACATTCATGGCAGAGCTTCCCTTCTCTCTGATCTCCTCTCTTCTTGAACGAGCATTTCTGTTCAGTATCAGGCTCATCTGAAAGCCTGGCTTGGATGGTCCCTTAAGACTACTTAAAAATTAATAAAGAGGAATAATACAGGGGAAAGCTTCAGCTTGTTTGTACAAACCCTGGCAGTTCAGCATCCCAGAGGCCACACAACAAAAGGACGCACGCCCCTTCGGGATGAGAGCAGCACTGGGGCAGGGAAAGGGTCAGAAGCCACGGAAAAGGACTGACCTTCATCTCCACACACGAGTTTCTTTACTACACAGGGGATTTCCGTGTAGCCAAAGCCTTTCAGCTGCTCCACCTGCTGAGCTGTGATGGGATGCTCCCACATGGCCGTGTTCATGGCCGGGCAGAAGAGCAGAGGTTTGCTCAGATCCCACGCGCGGATGACACAAGTCTACAAGAGAAGCCAAGAAATGGGTTGGATTTCCTCATTCCTTCCCATCCCTTTGCTGCACAGAATTGCCTTCCCAGCCTGGAGGTCATTTTGAGGTCAAAAGCCTCTATCTGTCAGTGCAGGTGGACTAACTCACAAGGCTGAGGCTAATTTGTATCACATTCCAGCAAAGCTCACGTCTGACAGGCAGAAGGATGAGGGAGGCTACAAAGAGGATAGATCCCATCCCGCTATGGCCCAGGGCCAAGTGAGCAGCCCAGCCTGGAGCAAACCAAGCAGGAACAGGATGCACACAGACTGCCAGCCTTTGTGGGAGACAGAGAAGTTGAAGGGTGACCACAGTTCTTATCAGCTGCAGTGAAATCCCTGGGCAACACTTCAGGTAAGCCAGCTGTAAAGATAAACACTGAAAGTTGGCAAGTGAGTCTTTTTGAACTTATCCACCAGCTGGTCCCATAACTTCTCATAGGGAAGCACTGCTGTGTCCGGGATACAAGCAGAGGATGACACAAACACATCTGGGCTGCTGCAGCAGACGCTGGCAGATTACAAACTATCTGGCAGCAGCACTTCCAGATAACCCAGTATCACCTCATCTCCTTAAAAAGATAAATGCTGCTTGCTCTTAATGCAATGCCCATCAGTTTCCCCAGGCCTAGCAGCGTTTAAGTCACGCAAATGAGCTTCCCAGTGAGCAGCAGTCCCTGGTGCAGGGCTCTCCTTGGATCAGGATCCTTATAGGAACCATGCCCATCCTTTTTATATCCTGTGACTTGAACCCTTCCCACCACAAGGACATCTGCTGTAATCTTTTCTAAACTGCCAACCAGCACCTCCAGCACTTGCTTTCCTTTCCTGGAGCTACCTCTTCCTTTCATCAGGCTCCCTGAAAAAACTGGCAGGAGTCTGTGAAGCCATGAATCCCTGATATCTTTCCTGAGCTCTTCCCTCTGCTAAACCATCAGATCCATAGTACTGAGGGGATCCAGAAGGACAAGACATTGCTTGTCCCTCCCACAGCTCTTTCTGACTTCTCTCAGAACCCCAGTAATCTAATCCGGGTGGATTTTGTTCATTTATATGCATTTCTTACCCAAAAGGCTGTTGGTCATGCAGATCTGCTGCTTCCTGAGAGATCTTTTGTGTGGTTAATGCCTGGCCACAAAACAGTCAGCCCCACTGAAGGTTCTCAGCACCCAACAGAGAAGCACACTCTCTTTTAATACACTTTCTGATTTGCCTGAAGAGCCTAAAGAGCACTTTCAATACCAAAAAAACCAAGCCTGAACAAGCAGAATATTCTGTAGCTGAGACTGGAAGTTAAGTAAACGTGAGCATGTTTGAATGTCTGTGCTATGTTAGGTGAGGAGGTGATGAGGTGGCAGGAAGTAAAGAGTTTTATCTAATCTCACAGGTGTCTTTCCAGATTACATCAAAAAAATGCAGAGAGGAACTCAAAGTGACTGTGTGTGTGTGTGTGTTTCTGTTTATGAATGAGAGAGGGTGGAGGTAGAAATAAATACCATCCCCAGAAAAAGCAGGAAAAGCACAAAGTGGGGACTAGGAAATAACAGAAGAGACTGAGGAGTGGGAAGGGATGTAGGTCAGGGAAGGAAAGATCCACTGTTTGAAAAAGAACAGGGGAATCATCCTGAGGAAGAGAGAGACAAGCAGATGGAGGCAGAACATGCAAATCTCGCTGTTCATGATGCTGCAGAAGCACAATTTTCCATGAAGGAAAAGGTCAGGCAGTCCTGAGAGCTGAGAGGAGTGGCAGGCAGAGCCCCAGTTACTCACCAGTAGGTTGTCACAGATGCCACTGGCAACCTTTGCCAGCGTGTTGGCATCCAGAGGTGCCACCACCATCAGGTCAGCCCAGCGCCGGAGCTCGATGTGCAGGACGGGGTCGGACCGACCCTTCCACAGCTGCGGAGGAGACAGGATGGAGATCACCAAACCCTCACAGGGAACGCTGGGAACAACGGGCACTTCACCAATCCCACCTCACAAAACACACTCCTGTGTTCAGGGAGCACAGTTAAGGGATGGCAGTGATGTAGGGCGGTCCTTTCCCCACAAAGACAATTCATACATCTGATAACCACAGATTTCAGCTCACATGAAAGAGCCTTCCCTGTCCACAGCATCCTTCAGCTTTGGAATTGTTCCTAAGAGTTCCCTTAACACATATCACACCTGTGCAGGGAAAAGAGCTCCATCCTACCAGCCAGATGAAGCCAGGTAGGACCAAACCAGGGGCACATTTCCTAGGAAACTCATGTGATTTATAAGCTTCACACTGAAGTGAAGCTTTCCACCGGCTTTTAATGAGGTACAGACCCCTAATTGTACAAGTCACTTTTAATCAGGCCCTGGCACAGGTTGCTCAGAGAAGCTGTGGCTGCCCCATCTCTGGAAGTGTCCAAGGACATGTTGGATGGGGTTGGAGCAACTTGGACTAACGGAGGGTGTCCTGGCCTATGGCAGGAAGCTTGTACTGGATGAGTTTTGAGGTCCTTTCCAACCCAAACCATTCTGTGATTGTTTCCCATTGTAAGCATTCCATGCCTGCTTTCCAGTGTGCCAGCAGACCTCAAAGCCTGACCTGTACCTCTTCTATTACCCTACTGAGGATTCCTCAGAAATAACTGCCTGGAGCTGTAGCACCCTGGGATCCAGCAGATCTCTACAAATCTCTAGATCAGCCAGAAAGTTTCCTGGCCACTGCCATTGGCATGTCTCTCTCCTCTTAAAAGTGATACTCGTGTGAGTGCATTGGCAGGAGTAGTGGTAAAGAGTAGAGCACCTTGTACTAGGATCACTACTGCAAAGTAGGGATAGAATGTAGGGGAAAAAAAAGTCTTCATGCTTATACAATGAACCTCTCCATACTCAAGGACTCTCCAAGTGCATCAGCAAAACTGTAGTCAGGAGAAAGAGCCATTTTACAGGGTGTAGAGATGTTCACAGCCCTGACAGCTGAGCTAAGGGAAGAAGCTGCTGCTGCCTTCGTGACAAGTATGACTCACGACGAGCACCAAACACGCTCACCACAGCTCTGCAGTGGCTTTCTCGACATTTCCTGACACTCCTCTCAGAGCAGCTGATTCCAGAGTGGTGAGAGAGCACTGCCTGCTGGGGGTCTGCTGAGGTGGGACAAAATCCTCCAGTACATCAGGGCAGCCTCTTTCTTCTTCCTCATTTACATCACGGTCTTCAAAAGCCATATTCCAAACATACATTACTAGACCAAGGAGTGGGTCCTAGCCCAGGATTAAACAAGAACTAAGTGTGGTTTCTTGCAAAGAAACTTAGATGAGTGCTTCTATTTGCAAGAACAACTCACCTGCCATTCATCTTCATCGCCATAGAGGGTGACAGGAATCTCCTGAGCGTTGTAGAAGTGCTTTGCTCTCTCAGTTGTGACCACCTTCACCTCAAGCTAAGCAGAAAGAACAAGACCAATGGTTAGATCTGAGGACAATTTTGAAAGCTGTGTGGATTCTCAGAGGACCTTGCCTATTCAAAGCTGAAAGGCCAAGCCACCGCAGATATCCACAGGAGTCAGAGACTCATTTCATGCCAACCTAAAATGGACAGGTTCCCACCTGCCAAACATGTTCACAGCAAAGACAGCAGAGAGGGCAGTGCAGGTGACAATGAGGTGCAGTTCTGCAGGGAACTTCAAAGGGAAGAAGCAGCAAACCAAAGCCCTGTGAAACTGAAAGATGCCCTTTAATCCCCACACATGCCTGCCAAAGGGAGGAAGGGAGCATCTCGCCTCAGTGGATTCCCTGAACCACAACTGACAAGGTGGCACTGCCAGGACTGCTCTTCCCACACTGGGAGCCAAGAGGAAGCTCTGTGCCAAGAGAAAGCTGAGTGATCAACGTAGGTGCTGAGAGACACGGAGGTATGCTGGGGCTCAGCACCCACCTCTGCTGCACAAGGCTTCCCAGAAAAGAGCAGCTTTGGAACACAGAGTACGGTTTCCTGGTTGAATGGATCATGTCCTGCACCTCTCTCTGCCTCCTTTTGCCCCACCTCTCTCGCTCCATGACCTCCTGACCCCAAAAGTGGGGAAGAAGCCAGAGACTGTGGGATGCTACATTTTAAAAGTGTTAATCAGACTTGCTGATCTTACCAGAAGCAAGTGGGAGTTGTGTCTTCCAGCTATCCTTCCTATCAAAGCAAGGTGGTGGGAAGAGGAAAGCCTCTGTGTAGGTATGTTCATAGCACAACATTTTTGTGCAGTAAACCAGTGCCTTCCACAAAGAGAGACTGGGTGAAAGGATATGAAGGTTGTCTCTGAAATCTCAGATAAACCTGCAAAGCCAGGGGAACCTTCAGTTATTGTTATATACTGGGGAAACTCTATCTCATCCCTCAGATCTGAAACACATGCTTATGAGGTGCTAAGGTGAACTTCTCATTTCCTGCAGAAAACAGATGGAAAAAGGTTTTTTTTCCCTGGTTTCTACCTGACCTGTGACCTGTAGCACTGATAAATGCTGCCAACAGCTCCTGCCACAAGCAGTGAACCGTAGGTGCCCTGCACACACCAGGACCAGCCCCAAATCAGAGGCAGTGTCTGAGTGGCTCTGCACGCCCTGATCCCCCATGGAACTGGACTTCCATCTGCAATTCCTTCCAAGGATATTCCTTAAACCAGTCAACAGGCAGGCCACCACAAGGAAAGAATACTCTGAAAACTTGTAATGTGGAAGATGCACCTCAGGCCATTGATTACAGTGAAAAATATCCCTTTTCCATGGTATTATCCACTTCCAGCTACTGCCTGCTCCTTCCAGCAGCTCACAGAACCCAGTGTGTGGTGTGAGATGGGGAGAAACCAAACTCACCAGCAGCTTCTGCCTCTTGGAAAATTGTGGCTTGAGGTAGAAAACTGATTAAGCACTCGGTGTGTGCACCCTTGCTGAAACCAACTGCTGGAAACCTCCAAGTTCTCTGCAACAGGAGTGGCTGACGTGACAAACCACATTAACCCAGCTCCCAACACCATTTATTCTACTGGGAATGGGGCAGTGTTGATTCCCTGCGGGCTATATGAGCAGAATAACAGCTGGGAGCAGAGCAAAATCCCAGCCTCAGCATATTGTGGTCTTTGGTAATTTCCCCCATTTCCTGAAGGGAAAGTCAAGGGAAAATATAGCTGCACGTGACACCAGTTTTTGGTATTACGTATTTGCTTCTTTGCCTCTTCTAAATGTCTGCTCTTTTCTGAGTGACCCTGATTTGGAATCACAGCTGTTTGTACTGTTTTTGAGCGTGAAGATCATATTCACAAGCCATGAACTGTATTATTTCCATGCTAACCTCACCCCACAGGAAGCTGCCCCGAGCCAAGCAGCAGCACCCACAAAGGTGCTAACGCCGCTCTCTGCAGCGCCACGGGCCTGGGTGAGGTGTTAACCTCAGGCTGCAAGAGAGTATTTACTTGGGGATTTTTAAAGAGCACCGTGCAGTTTGAAGGGGCATCTCTCATCTCTGAAATGGTACCATTAAAAAAAAAATAATTATCTCTTCCAAGCATAAGCTCAGGATTAGAGAATAGCTCTGGCTTTTGAGCATTGCATCCAACCCACTGCAAGCCAGGACATACCAGAGGGATGTTCAAGGACTCTGAGTGCTGGTGACTCTGCCACTCCACCAAGAAAACCGCTCTATGAGTTAAATATTCTCCCTAATGAAGGTTTTCTGCTGGGGTGGGTTCCTGGTTCCCTTGTTCTCAGCAAGTCCTTCAAGTCTCTCCAGCTGTGCTGCAAAGAGATCAGTGTTCAAATGATCACTTTAGCCTACATAGTTTGTTGGTTTTTTTTCCTATTTACCTGGCACACCCTCTGTTTGCCCATGGATATCTTAATAAAGGCAGTCTAGCCACACTCAAATTCCCTCAGTGGAGACAGCTTTGATTAGTTAGAGGTCTTTGGCTTAACCCAAATCTCCAAAATAAAACTTCACTGCAAAATTGCTCTCCTGTGTTCAGAGCAACACACTGCTGCTCTCTGTTAGAGGATTCTCCCGGCACAGCCCTTTCTGCTCAGGTTAAGGGTGTGTGTGATTATTTTTTAATAACTTTCTCAGTTTTGACAGCAAAATCTTCCCACACAGCCTGACCACAAGCGAATGAGCAGCTCCCCTGTTAAATGGCACTTACAAGCCAATGTAGAGGCTGCCTGGCACGTGCACAATGAAGTGACATGGTGTGATTTAAGCCTAAAGTGCAGCTGACATCCTGTAGCTTCAAGGACAAAACATCTCACCCACAGAAAGGTTTGTCCTTGCCTTTCTTTATCAGAGGATCACAGAATGGTTTGGTTTGGAAGTGACCTTGAAGGCGATCCAGTTCCATCCCCCAGGTTGCTCCAAGCCCTGTCCAACTTGGCCTTGAACACTTCCAGGGATGGGGCATCCACAGCTTCTCTGGATAACCTGTGCCAAGGCCTCACCTCCCTCACAGGGAAGAATTTGTTCCTAATATCTAATCTAAACTTGTTAGTATAAACTGTTTCAGCTTAAAGCCACTCCTCCTTGTTCTGTCCCTCCAGGTCCTTGTCCAAAGTTCCTCTCCACCTCTCTTGGAGCTCCTTTAGGGACTGGAAGGGGCTCCAGGGTCTCCCAAAAGCCTATTACTAACCAATATCCTGCCAATATGATTTTTGTCATGGTGTGCCTGCCACTGAAAAACTCTATGAATGAGGTGTGTGAGATGATGAGATCCTGTGCTGTCTCTCCACCACACCAGGTGCAAGGACAATAATCTGCACCCAATCGAAATTTCCCAGATCTCCAAAGAGGTTAAACAAAAAGGCAATGCACTGGAGTCACCCTCGAGAAGATGTTAAAGTTTAATGAGCAGCAAGATCACCCTGCCAAGTCATTCACCACAGATCCTTTCAGCCAAAACATCAATTTAAACTAACTACTCCAGTTTCAAGCCTTTGACCACACCTCCTTTGGTACAAAGGCCTTCCTTTGCCTCCTGCCCTACCTCAACAAGAAACTGATGCAACAGCCTTGTGCAGGACCCAACAAACTCAATGGAAAAGTTACACTGACTCAGCAGGCCTTGAAATCACGGCAGAAATTAGATACTAAATAATTTTTATTAATAAATTTAGTGTTAGAAACTCCTGGACGTTTCACTTTTGCTATTTATGCAACTAAAACCAGTGGCCACAAAGTCTGCACCAGATGTCACGGTCCTCTGGGTCTGCACAGAGAGTTTGGGTCCAGCTGCCTGCAGCTTTTAATTATGAATCAAACACTCAGAGAGAAGGAGGGGTTTGACTTACATTCCTACGGTGCATCATTTGCATTCTGCCTGTTACCCTCACAAAAGGATGTTCCAAGCACCAGGAAAAAAGGAAAAGAGACAACAGCCAAGGTAATCCAAGAGAGAGAGGATTAGAAGATCCATATCTCTGGCTCTGTGCTGATCACTCCCTTTCTTGGTATGGCTTTTCTTTGTTCTTCTTACTTCAGGTGCAGACCTTTGACTTCACTAATCACTTCGGATCAAGCAATAAATTAATTCAGACTTCTCTCTGCAACCTGTACTGGAGTACTGTACTGGAGTACTCCCCTCCAGTACTCTTTCCAGCTTGGATACCAACATAAACCAGATAAATCAGCACTTCTCCTGCCTCTACTCAATGCATTCACAAGATAAAGCCTCCCAAAACATTCTAAAGGATATTCATGAAGCAATCTAACCAGTATATCTCCGATTTAAGTGCTCCCTCTTGCTTCTGCCACTTTTTCATTTTGCTGCTCCAAAATATCTGCTCCATTTCTTAAAAGTTTCCTCTAACTTTATTCTACAGCAGAAAAAAGCGTGTTTCCCTCCCTGATCAGTTACCAGTGGCCTCTGCTGGGCACTTCTGTTAATCCAGATAATTAAGAGTAAAAAAAAAAAAAGTGCACAGACTCATATAGCAGTGTGTATTTTCTATTTCTGGTTTCACAAGGTCTGGTTCCCCCTCTCTTGGTCAGACAGCAGCGTTTATATTTCAAAAATCCATATCCCACAGATGGAAAACTGCAATATCCTGGAGATTTCAAGTTCTAGGTGCATCACCTCTGTCTGCAGCCACATCTGGCAATTTGACTGACAAGGGCAAATTCCAGGGAAAAAAACCATCCAAAGCCAAGACCTATTCAAGTGTTAATTGATAAGGGGAAAAAAAAAAATCAGTTCTTAAAAGCTGGAAGAATTCTCCTTCAAAAAATTGTTAAACTGAAGGGCTCCAAGGAGGAACTTTTCATTTCAGCAGGGGCCATGTGATCTCTCCTCTCCAACTCTACAAAGCTCCACCAACAGCTTTTACTTACCCCAGGGATTTTCAGCAATTCCCCGACGAGCAGGGGCAGCTTCAGAGCAGCCACACTTCCAGTCACCCCCACCAAGACATGGAATTTCTTCTGTGGCACGGGTGAGTTTTTTCCTGCAGGAATCCCTGGTTCCAGTGGGGAGACAGGCTCCATGCTCCAGTCAAACTCTGCAAGCACAGAAGAACAAAGACACGGGACTAACAGTGCCTCCAAGCACAGCAGGGCTCCAACCCCAACATATTCCAGAGGGCCCAGATCCAAACCTGGACTCTGCAGGGCTCAGAGTAGTTCAAAACAGAGTCTAATCCACAAAGCTTTCAAGCACCAGCAAACCTTTAAACCCAGCTTAATGTTTAATTACAAATTTCTCTCAGATACTGTTAACACACCCCTAAAATCTGTACTAGGAGGCCAAAAACGTGCTCTGCTAACCCCAGCCATAAAAACAAAGAAAATATGCTCTCACACATTGAACATGGTCCAGAATTTAGGATAAATACCTTTCACATCAAGTGCTGCAAAGACATACAACCCCTAGCTGAGCTGCTTTCTCCTTGTACTCCTGGTGGATAAAAAATTCAGGGAGATGTATTAATATTTAAAAATTTGAGGTCTCAAGGAAAGCATAATCATCCTATTTCTTATTGTATTCCTAAATACTTAGAGCAGCACTAGAAATTATTCCCTAGCAGCTTTAATTCAGGTCTCCCACCTCCTCCTGGCTTCCCTGAGCTGCTGCCACACCAGTAAAAATCCCAAATGACTGTTCTGGTGAGGAAATCATTAGAATTGATACAAATATCTCCAACATCAAAATATCATCAATTAACAAGTAATTAGCAAAGAGTAAATTCAGTCCTTGAAAAATCATCATATTCAGTGAAGTTTGTTCCGTTTCAGTGATGTTATTATTAAGACAAAGCTGCTTGGAAGCACTTTGGGTGGAACAAAGATGAAGAAGAAGATGTTTAGGCTGCCCTTATTTTTGGGACCAACTCGGATGTTGGAGTGAGGGGGCTGGATTCCCCGGAGAGAGGAATTTCATAGGATCACCGAAGGGTTTGGGTTGGAAATGAGAGGTGATTCAGTCCACCCCCTGCCATGAGAAGGGACACCTTCCAGGTTGCTCCAAGTCCCATCCAATCTGGCCTTGAACACTTCCAGGGACGGGGCAGCCACAAACCTGTGCCAGAACACCAAAGGGAAGAACTTCTTCCCAATATCCCACCAACCCTTCAGTCACTACCAGGAGCAGGTTAACTTGGGATCCTTCATGGTTGTGCAGCAGTTATGTGGAATTCTGAGCCCCTCACCCAGACAAACACCCCTTCTAACCCCCTCTCACAACACCACCACCTTCTTTTTCCATGCTCTGCTCAGAATCAACACGTTTAACTCCAGCCCCAGAAGTTTCTCAGCGTGTTTATAAAATGCATTACCAGGATAAGAGCCCAGTTTCCGCTATGCTGATTAGCAAGGGTAATTAGAGGTGAGGAAATGTAGCAAGCACATTGGCTGGTGGATTTTAATGCTACTACATGCTTCATACATTCATCTATATCTAATTAAAATTAGAAAGGTATTGTTGATTTATAAATAATTTAAAAAATTATTATCTAATTAAAACATCCTTAGGATGCTTTCCAAATTTCTCTTATGATTCCTAAATGACAATTAATTCTCCAAAGCATCCACAAATTAAAACCTGGAGAATAAGAAGTTAGGCACCTTTCAAAACACGTTATAAATTATAAAAATTATGAAACAATTAAAAAATCGGTAAAATAACTATAAAATACTAGAAATTATAAAATCATAAAATACTGTTAAAATAACAATTGCAAAACAATGGGAAAAAGGTAGAAGTGATAAAAATTATAATGAAAGCTGTATATTATAACAGAGACAATACTATTATATATAATTTTAATATCCTATATAAAATTATATATCATCATATACAATACATATATATTGTAATAATATATAATTAAATAATAAATTACAATATAATAAATAATATAATAAATAATATAGAAAATAATAATATATATAATTAAAACATATTTTTTACATTATTACATTTATTACATATATTACATTATAATATGTAATTATAATAATATATATAAATTGTATTATATATATAACATGAAAATTATAAAACGTAATGTAATAAAATATAATATAAATAAATTGTAATAATATATACTATATATATTATATACAAAAATATATATTATTATATACAATATATAACATATAATAATAAAATAATAATATATGATATGCACAACACAAATATAATAATGATATTAAAGTTCTGGGTTGTGCTTTTCTCTTACCCAAATACAGCTCTGGGGAAACAGCCACTAGAAAACAAGCAATTTAGAGGCCTCATGCGTTATTTGAACAGATTTTTTTAATGCTGTAGCGATGCTCGAAATAGCTCCAAAACGCTGCAAAAAGGCACGCACAGAGCAGCGCCGAGAACCCCCCTGCGGGTTCCCAGAACATAACAAGCAGCGTTTCTATACGCGGAGGCAGGACGGGCGCGGTCCGGAACGACGGCAGGGCGGCAGCCCCCGAGCTCCGTCCGCAGGGCCGCGGGCGGCGGCGGCAGCGCGGCCTGAGGGCGGCCCGGCCGCGCGGGGGCGCCGGGAAATGGCGCCGATTGGCGGCGGGCCGGAGCGGGTGTCATGGCGGGTGTCATGGCGGCCTCCGCACCGCCCCTCACGCTCCCCGTCCTGCCCCCACGGCCCCACTGCAGCCCCCCCGGGAGGGCTTTGTGCCCCTCGGTGCCACAGTTGCCCCCACGCCAGGGATCTCGCCCAGGGCAGGCACGTGGGTGGCTTCAGACTGCTGAGGAAGTTGTTTAAGGGGGATTCTGGCTCGTGGCAGGGTTTTGGCAATAACAGAGGGCAGCAAAACTCGCTGCTGGGGGGGGGCATAAAAGGCGTGTTGAGGAGAGGAGAGGGTCTGAGGTCCCCTCAAGTGGCAGCTCCAGGTGATATCTGAGCCCATGGAAGTGCTACAGACAAGGAGGGAAACCTTTCCTACAAGGATTGAGGGCAGCCACACGGAGCTGGCAGGGGAACGTGGGTTAAAGAATCACTTATTGTCTGAGGTGCAGACAGGACAGGGGAGAATGCCTTCAAAATTAAAGGGAGTAGGTTTACATGGGATACTGGGAAGAAATTCTTCCCTGTGAGGGTGATGAGGCCCTGGCCCAGGTTGGCCAGAGAAGCTGAGGCTGCCCCATCCCTGGAAGTGTCCAAGGCCAGGTTGGATGAGGCTTGGAGCAAACTGGACTAGTGGAAGGTGTCCCTGCTGGATATCTTTGGAGTCCCTTCCAACCCAAGCCATTCCACGATTATGCAAGCACAACAGATCTGTGGCAGTGTGTGGTCCACAACCCTTTCCAGATAACTGCTGCTTTTAAGCTGTATTTGGACATCCCTGTAATATCAGCTACAAGCAAGCAGCATGAAAGGCAAGAGGCAGAGAGCTCTCTTTTGCTGACTGCAGGACATAGGAAGCAACAGGGAGACATCAGGAAACCCCCAGGTGTGATCTATCCAGAGCTTCCTCTCGCCCAGGGGCAGGAACACCCCCTTTCTCCCACCCTGTGGGCTTCAGGAGCACCCCGCTTTGATCACTACCACATCAGCCCCACCTTAAGCAGGGACATCTTAAAAATAATCAAGGTGAGAACAGAGGGTAGAGTTTCCAACCCAGCTGGTGTCACAGGGGCACATTTCAGCGCTCACACACTCAGGAGACACACCGGAGAGGAGGGGTAGGTGCTGAAGCAATGTCTGTTAGTTACAGCTCGTTACAGTTATTATTGATGCATCTTATTGTCAATGCAAAAGGTGAAGTCACTTAATCCATCATTTCTCAGACACGGATGACAGAGCACATGGTTTGGCAGAGTAAGTTTTAGGCGAGCTAGAAATGGATTGCACAATATTTAAACCTGATTAAACATAATAGGCTCAGCAAAGGATTACTTTTCTCCTGACATTTTATACATAAATATATACACACACACGCACAGACAGGCATTTTATCAATAGCTGCATTTTAGTCTGGTCAAGAGATGACTGCCTACTGCATAATGACTGAAGTGGTACCTTAAAAAGGAAACTAGTCTTGGTGTGCTTTGCTGGAGAAGAGAAGGTCCTTTTTGGGGTGATTCTCAGGGGTAGGGGTCACATCCAAGCATCACTGGGGGGCTGGAGGGGACGGGTGAGGGGCTGGGGACTCACATAGCCCTGGCTGGTGGCACACCAAGCTCCTTCCCTGTGCAAGGCAGGAGATACTGGAGCTAAGGAAGGGGCTGGATTGGATTCTGTTTGGACTGCTTTTCAAGGACTTGGGAAAAAAAATTGGCATATTTAAAGTGCATTTAGAGTTGAAAAGCATCTCTGAGAAGTAGCTTTCCTGACTCCTGCCCTGCAGCATCCATCCCATTTATGATCCCACTCACAGTCTTTTTCCAGGGTGTGCTAGTCACTCTCCCCAAGAGGTGTTAGTCTGAGCTCAGCTGCCTCTTGCTAGGGTGCAGGATCATTATTTAATGCCCACCATCCCCAAACTGGGCAGGATTCAGGGCTGGCAGGGATTTCTGCACCAAGAAAACACATGGCCACATCTCACCACGCTTTTTAGGAGCGCAAGTAAGTGGGAATCCTTCCTGCCAGCCTGGAGGTTTCCTGAAGAGCCTTTAATTAGCATATGCCTCCAAGGCTAGGAGGGACAAATCTTGGCCTGGCTATTTCTGTCATCAGGGAGACTGCTTGGATTTGGGGTGGCAAGATTTGACCTGCAGCCTTGCCCAAGAGTAGGTCCTCTGAGGAACGCTCTGCTGCTTTTACAACTGCTTTTCAAAACAGAAGCCTTTTAAAAATAACAGACTCAGGATGCAGAATCCAGAATGGGACAGTTGTATCCCGCAGGGAAAACCTGTCCTTGCTCCCCAACACTCACACACACAAACACACACATACACACACAGGTCCTCCATGTCAAAGTGTGTAAACTACTCACTTACAACACCACACACTGAGAGAAGTTGTAGATCCTGAGCCAGGGTGTAGATTAGGAATCTCTTGGCTTCCAGCATATCAACAGCAGGATTGAGGGTTTCTCATTCCCCCTCCCCTTTTTTTTTTTTTTTGAATGCTAAATCAACCAGCCACCTGCTAGTTAAAAAGCAAAAAGAAAAAGGAGAATTCCCAGGACTGTTTGCCCTTGCTGAAACAACGGCAAGTGGCTGGACATTACCAACTGAAAGAGAAAACTCACACATGTCAGAAACCTGTGGTTCAGGGCTTATTCCAAGAGGGAAGATGGGTGCTGGTTGCTGTTTTTCCCTTTTTGGGGGTGTGTGGGGGGCTTTTGGCTGATGAGGTTCTAATTTACACCTATCACCACAGTAATTAAAAAACCACCACTGTACACTATTCCACAGAGAAAAAAAAAAGACGTGAACAGACACTGACTACCACGCACAACAAGAGCCCTGCAGGTCAACTCACAGCCTCTTCAGAATGAAAAAGAAAGGAGAAAATAAGAGCTCAAAACAAGGGAAAAAAAAAAAAAAGGAAAGAAAAAAATCCCAAAGGATCTCATTACGAAGACGGGAAAAGAACCACCACTATGGTACACTCCAACTTTCTGAAACAGCTGCAGAAACTCGCTCAGCCTTCTTCCTCCTCTCTTCCCCCCCCCCCGCCCCAGCTCTTCCTCCTGAGGACAGAGTCCTGCTGCTCACATCTCGTTGGAGTAGGTGTAGTTGGGGGTGGCCGAGTACTGCGTCTCGTGCTGCATCATCGCGCCCTGTGCCGCCCCCATGGCCGCGTTCTGGGCCGCCTGCTGCACGTGGGGGTTCTTCCATGCCCCCGTGGTCCACTCCTCCTGCGCTTTGCTGAAGCTGCCGCCGCTCCCCCGATAAAACTTGTGCACCTGGAGGGAAAATCCAGAGGGGCTGAGTGCCTGCAGCTGGAGGTGAGCTCCCAGGGGGGCAGCGAGGGCCCCCCCGGAGCAACGTGTCGCACCCATTTCTCCTGCCATACCATGGTGAGAGCGATGAAGGAGAAGACTGCCATGGCCGTGAAGAGCACGGTGGGGATCAGCATCACCACGGCTGACCCCACGTTGGTCCCAAAGAAGGAAATCGCTGCAATCCAGCCGCTGCAAGGAGATGAAAACAACCAGCTTTCCCAAATTGCCAGCATCCTTCCCAGCTCTTCAGACCATCCTCCCCAAGGCAAGAAGCACCGAATATGTTAAAACATCAAGCACTGGGGATGTTAAAACACCATGGTGACCACCCTTGCGCCCAACACAGAAGCATTTTCCTTACCAGACCCCCCATCCAGGGATTCCCACCGCCTGGATAATGCTGATCACCAGCTGGGCCATGAAAGTGAAGAAGAAGGCCATGAAGCTGAAGGAACTGTCTGTCCTGCAAGAGAGGGCTCGGTCACTCCCTGCACCTCCATCCCTGCTGCGCTTCGAGGAGATGCTCCTATGTCTCAGACCCGGCTGTGATTTAGCAGGAGGGTGGTGAGAAGCAAAATTAAAGGCAAAGGAAAAACTGCAAGAGGCTGAAGGTGGTGAAGGGGCACCTGGGAAAAGCCCACGGGGGCACCAGACCCTCTCCATGGCTCGGCCAGCTCTGCACATTGAACTTGATGACATCCATGCTGGGACACAGCTCTTGGCTTACACCACCCCACATGGGGAATAAATACATCCCCAGACTTCTAGATTTGGGAATCAACCTCAGCAGCTCGGATAACCCATATAAACACCTTGAGGACTTGTGGAAAAATATGAAAGAAGCCTCAAGGATGAGAGAGAGGGAGAGCTGCACCCCAACTGCATCCTCACCAGTCTCCCCCGCTGCTGCACAGAGGCACATGGAGGGTGCTCTTACATCACATGGTTGGGGGTTTGGCCCTCAGGAAATCCCAAACACCCTTGTTTTGAAGGTTAGAAAGTAAAGCTAAAAAGGCTGGACAAAAAGAAATTCCCCTAGTAATTTAGGCAACGCCCCAGGCTAACCAGTGATGGTTTAGGAAGGAAAACAAGGCAAAAAGAAGCCAGGCTCAGGTGCGACCACTTACTTGAAAGCTTTGTAAATAGGTCTAAACCAGCAGACATAGGAGCAGGGCGTAAAGAGAATGAGCCAGAGAATTGCCAGTCCAAAATTTACAGCTCCGCCGCCTCCAATGAGCCACGCGAGGCAGCCCACGAGATTCACTGCCAAGGTGATGCTGTTCACTGCAAACACACACACACAGAGCAGAGTAGCACGGACACAAGGATGGCAGTGAGATATGAGAGACCCTGACCCCAGGGATGTGGCCTCGGAGCCCTGCCCTAGCCGGATTTCCCTTAAATTAAGCTGGGAGCACATTCCCAGGCTGGCTGAGCCAAA